CTTTAGGAATGCTGCCTTAGGACATGGTCTTTTCTTTTAAACAGTGATTGTATATTTTGTATCGGGGTGTTGGGGTACCAAAAACATGAACAAACTTTTGCTTTGGTAAGGGTTTCCCTGTCTTCACTGCTCCAGATTCAAGTAATTCCCCTAACCTGAGAGCATCACGCCACCTTCATCTACCCTAATGATTCGTAATTATCCCAAAACTTACAATCTGCCCAGCCCGCCACCAAGCAAATAGGCTCCATCTGGCCTACAGCCCAAATGTATTCTTTTTGTTTGTTTGTTTGGTACTAGGGATCAAACTTGGGACCTTACACTTTACAGGCAGGTGAGGTGCCACTGAGCAAAATCCCCGGCCCCCAAATGTATTCTTCCATACTGATCCTCTTTTGGAAAGGAGATTATTCTTGGTGTCCGGTGCAGATAATATATTATAATCACATTATTGTTATCCTGGAAGAATGCAACAGAGTAACAGGGTTATCTACTCTTTGGGATTTTAAGTGTTTCCAAGAAGGCATCATTCCAGCTGATTCTGACACCCAGACTGTCAAGCCCTGGAGCCCAGGGATCCTCTGTAAACAGTCCATATCAGGATATCCCCAGGGCGTTCTAAATGTTACTTATAGCCACCCCTCCCAGGTCCAGCATTCTACAATTTTTGGTGTCAGATGTGTTCCTTTATCACTTGTATTGTTTTTTGGGGGGCGGGCTACCAGGGATCGAACTTAGGACCTTGCCCTTTCAAGGCAGGTGGCAGAACCACTGAGCTAAATCCCCAGCCCACTTGTATTGTTTTAAACCAGAAGGAAATTCTGCCAGGTGTGGTGGGACATGCCTGTAATTCCAGCACTTGGGAGAATGAGGCAGGAGGATTGCTGTGAGTTCAAGGCCAGCCTGGGCTACATAGTGAGACCCTGTCTCAAAAACAAAACAAAACAATTCTAAGAGCTTGATTAGATTTATCTTAGAAGTTTTTGGCAAGACTAGTTAAGAATCCTATAGATGGGAGCCAGGGATTTCACTCAGTGGCACCAAACCTGCCTCGCAAGGTCCTGAGTTCAACCACCAGTATCCCCCCCTCCAAAAAAAGAACAGATGGGTCAAGACGGGTATAGATGGGTCAAGAACTGTAATTCAGGGATGAAGACCCTAATAATGCTCATGTATGAATTAAAAGCATTCCAATATCTATCCTAACCCCTTTCAATCATTATTTGGTTTCCGGAATAAGGAATTACCTTTATTCTTTACCTGCAGTTTCACAGAAGAGCTAAAAAAATAATTACTTTCCAATTGCACCCTTACTCCAAGCCTTGGAATGGTTTTCTACTATCTTCAGGATCAAATCTAAATTTCTCAAGATTGGTGTGATTTAGAAAAGCCCTGGGTAACCCACTGGGGATCCCTCCTGTCTCTCAGGAGCTATTCCTATTCCCCAATAAATCTTCCTACTCTTTAAAAAAAAAAAATAGAAAAGCCCAAAAACCTGTCTCTCCCTGACTCTGCCATTTCGGTTCTTGCCACTCAACCTGAGCCAAGCTGGATACGACAGCACCTGGAGCCAGCCAAGCTCTCAGCCAATGCTGCTCCTACAGTCTGAACTTAAGACAGAAAACCTAAAATTTCAAGAAGGAAAAATCCTCTACCTTCACTAAAGCATTGAGGCCAGGAAGAAAACAGAGGGGAAGAGATAGAGAAGAGGATAGGGGAACAAGTCTAATGAAGACTAGAGCCAGCTGCACCCCAACGCCCCCTGCATTAGCATTCTTCAGGCTGGCCAGCCCAGGGGGCTCTTCAACGACATGAGTAGGCTCCTGAGGTTCATGTTACTGTCAGACAAAAATCAGTGCCTGGGCCTGAACATGCAAGTTAAAAAAAACAAAACTGAAGGTTAATTAACAGTTAAAACAGCCCAAAGACCGTGGGCTTATGGATTCTGTGCTGGCAACTATATTCCTCTGAAATGCAACAAAAATTAAATTACAGTGCTGTATAATAGATTTAGCACTTTATCTTGAAATATTAACAAGACTGCCAGAGGGAGTAAGTTTATCAAGGGATAAAATCCTAATAGTACCTCCTCGTTCACTCAGGGGCCAATTAACATTTCCCTCCACGCCCAACATCCAGACTCTGCGTTCAAAATTGCTCATGACCCTATGGATTTCCAGCACAGGCCTCTGCCCCAGAGCCTATTATGATCAATGCACCAAGGGCTTGGTGTGCGCGCGAGGCAACGCTTGCGCTGTCAGAACAACCCGAGCACATCAAGGACCTTTGTGTTTAGTTTTGTTTCTTCATTTCTTCTTTCTTTTTTTCTTTTTTGGTACCGGGGATCGAACTCGGGACCTTGTGCTTGAGAAGCAGGAAGAGGAACTACTGAGCTAAATCCCCGGCCCTTAGTTTTGTTTCTTTTGCTGTCTGAAGATCTAAAATCCAACATGGCTATTAGCCTCTCCTCTTACCCTAGCTTTTCCGTCTCAGAGTTCTTTTTATAATCAGCAAATGTCTAACATTCAGAAACTGCCAGTAGCCATCTGTGCTTTTCACAATTAGATCACTGTCAGAAAGAAGCACATTTTTCAGTTCTAGGCTCTACTTTTACAATCTGGCAATTCGCTAAAGGGGTGGCTGTACTCTGAGGCTGTCCTAAAACATATCTCCTGCTAAATTCAAAAGACTGCGGGCCTTTCCAGTGTCTTCAGGTTAGAACATTTACTGTGCCTTGTCCCACCTAAGCAAAGCCCCCAAAGCCCTGCATTTTCTGGACCTTGATCTATAAAAGTGACTCCAATAAGTCTGTAAAGGATTAAAAATATTCTCAGGTAAAACACATATATTGAATCTGTTAACTATGTTGAGAATAAATAAAAAAATAAACCAAATGGTACCTCACTAAAGGAATCCACAAGGCAGACTTTTTCTTGAAGTGTCTTGCTAATTTGTGGTTAGAGTGCAACACACTCAAGAAAATGAAGCTCACAGCAGGACACTGATACTAAGTAATTTTATGAGATTATGCCTGCATTTGAACTAAATAACTGATGCTGGGAGCAGAAATAAAAACAGAGATGAAGTTAAGCTATTGACTGAAGACTGTACTAACCCTGTCCAAAAAAGGGGGGTGTGAACGAGCGCCTTCAAGACCCAACTCTTCCTAGGAACTGTCAGTAGTCTTCCTTAGAAAGCCCCGTGGCGCCTGGTTTTTGTAGGGGTGGTAAAGGCCCATACCAGTGACCAGGAAGCTGGCCGAGGAGGGGGGAGACCCTCCTGTTGAGAAGATGGTGGCCCAATGGGGGTGGGGGTAATGCAAGAAGAGCTTTCCCTACTTCAAAGGCCAAGCTTAAAAGGCTCTCGCCCTCCTGTTCCCGACAACTACCAGGAGCACCTGCTGCCTTCTGGGACGTCTAAGGAGAGCCATCCTGAATACAGAGAATGACTTCCAGATTCCTCTACCTACAAAGTCATTCCGAAGTCTGGGGTGTGGACACTCTAACACCACCCTCCAATGGGTGCTTGTGCTTATCACTTAACCAGTGCTAGGGGCCGGGGATTTAGCTCAGTGGTTTCGCACCCTGCTGTGCAAGCGAAAGGACCCGAGTTCTGAGTTCGATCCCCGGTACCAAAAAGAAAAAAAACCACATCAAACAAACTTAACCAGTGCTGTATTTTTGCTACTTCTTTGTTTCCTGGGGTTCTCCTGCAGCCTTTTCAGAAGAATCTGCATACTAGAGAGTGCTACAACTTTCTAATGAGCATGGGCTGAAGAGAACCACACAGCATTGGCACTGTCAGTACCACACCTCACGTGCCGTGAAGACAACCCACAAAGTGAAGTGTGGGTGCATCCTCAGTATGCAAAGTGTAGAAGTAAACGTCCCAGTCCAGCCCTAAGACAACACCACAGACACTGAGGCTGACAAAATGACTGCAACCTTCTACCTCCCTGCCCACTTTCCTTCCTCACCCCACTTCCCAAAGCAGCATTTCCTGGCCAGCCCCTTCCTTAATCCCCTAACAACATCAGCACTGGCCAAGGTGTGCTGTTTTTATTTTTTATGTCCTTTCGCACCACTTAGATTGTAAACATCAATCTCTGAGCCCAAATGCTAGGTGTAAACATTTGCTGGTAATTATGTTAAAGTAAAGAGACTTTTTAGAATAACTGGTAAAATGAATAGATGAAAACTTTAATTCTATTTGGTATGTTTCTGATTTGTGAAGTATAACTGCACATGGAAAGAGGAAACTGCTTTTTTTCTTGGGCAGCTAAATGGATAAAACAAAAATTACATATAATGAGAAGGCAATATAAAACAAAGGTCACACCCGCCAAAATAACATCTGAATTTGGATGTAACAGGAAAAATACCTTTTAAATCACGTGTTAGCACGTGCTTTAAAAGACATTTTCTACCTTAAGACTTAAACATTTTGTTTTTCTTCAGAGCAGAGAAGAAAAAACAAGGTAAAGAATTACATGACTCTGGAAGTGGGCCTGGATCTCACCCCTCCTCATATGCTAGTCAGATACAGGACAGAGGTCCTGGGCTAAAGTAAAAGATGAAGGTCAGGGCTGGGCATGAAGCTCAGTGGTAGAGCCCTTGCCTAACCTCTAACACCCTGGGTTACTTGGGTCCTGGTCCTGGTACCTCAAAAAGGGGGTAGGAGGTAGGTATAAAGGTCAACTTGGTTTCTACTTTCCCAGAGACAGCCCAAGAAAATCAAAACAGGTAAGCAAAAGCAACCCTGGAACTCATACCAGAACTGAAAATACATGACGTAGTGTTACTCACAGCCCAGAACAGAGGAACAATATAGACATGAGTGCAGGGCCTTCCCTGCTTACTGACCTGCTGTCTAAGAACACAAATGCTGTCCTATGGCATCTCAGACACTGGCTGAGAATCCTTAAGATTCTGAGAATCCCACTGACATCAATGTCGTCACAAAGGTCAAGCCCAGTAACCAGCTGGCCAAGAGATCTACAAAAAGCCTACTGACGCATGCCTGGTAAAATACAGCATCATTGAGCCCTGGGAGCGATCCAGGAACATGCTAGTCTTAAAATTCCTCCCTGCACACCCCTCAATCAAAATGGAAATTAAAAGCTAAGAGGTTTCATTTAATTTTGAGGAAGAAGGTATTATTATTCCCATTTTCCATAAAAACAAACTGAGAATCACTGCTTTGATCTGGCTCAAGAGACCATTAGTAACTGGGCTACTAAGACCATGGGACCCTGGGCCTCCAGATCCACTTCAGCACAAACACTGTGGGTGCTGTTACTGCTAATGAGCAAAAATAAAAGTCCTCAGAGCTCTTGGAACCCAAAGCAAAGTTCTCCACGAGCTCCTAGAAATATTAATTATTTACTCACCAGATGATTACGTTATGGGGTGATAAGGCTAAGACCCAAAGCTAACCATAAAGCAAAAGGAGAGAACGGCAGATACTTTCACTTCCTTTTCAACTTTCACTACAGCTGACTGTTTTCAGAGCTGCTAGGATACCTCAATGGAGTGTGAGAAATGACCAGAAAGGTCTACTGGACCCTCAACTACACCTGGCTCTATCTTAAAAATAACCTCTTAGCCAGACATGGTAGCACATGCCTGTAATCCCACAGCACTTGGGAGGCTGAGGCAGGAGGATTGAAGTGAGTTCCAGGCCAGCCTGGGCTACACAGCAAGACCCTGTCTCAAAATAAACAAAACAAAACTCCAATTTCCTCCCAACTTTTAAAAGAAACTAAATAACGTGTTTTTTTTAAACTGCCAGTCCTGGTGTTAAAAATTAATTTTCATTTATTCTTGGTTATTCTTTGCCACCACAGTCAAGAACATTATGAGACTTGCATCTGACACTGAATGTTGCCTAAACAAGCAGCACCCTGTTCCTATCAGCTGAGCTTGCAGCAGACTTGACTCCTGAGTCCCAAAGGTGAGCCACATTTCCCTGAACACATATCGTTGCCATAAATACTGCTATTATCGGGCAAAGAGTGAATAGGTTGTTTAGGAGATGTAGCAAAGAACTCATTTTTTTACTACACCTGCCTTAAAGTAACAGGTAAGATTACAGAATTCCTAAGCTCAGCAATCTGTCAAACAAATAAGCCATAAAATTATGTTCTCCAAAATATCTCTTGTTAAATACAATTTATTCTATTTCCAAAAGAAGAAATTTATTCTGACTTTGCTGCTACCTTTCAGCTGTCACTTTCTCATGTTTTCAACTTCAAATGAGCCAACTTACTCCTTGATTTAAAATGCCATATACATAATATTAAATCATGTTAGCCTGAGAATAAAGCATCCAGATACATAATACCACTGTCACTATTTTTTTTTTCCGCTACCAGGTATCAGACTCAGGACCTTGTGCCTGCAAGGCAAGCGCACTGCCACTAAGCTAAATCCTCGGCCCACCACTGTCAATATTTTACTAGTAAGACAAATAAGTAAGACGTCTGTATGGACGGAAGAGTCATTTCCACAAACTCTTAAAGCATCACAGACACACAGACCATGAGTGTTTTGGAAAATAAGGCTGAGTTTTGGAGACCTCTCTGCAGCAAAGAAGTCTTAGAAATAAGACTCAACACAGCCAGGCAGGGTGGCACACACCTGTAACCCCAGCTCTTGGGTGGCTGAAGCAGGAGGATCGCCATGAGTTCAAGGACAGCCTGGGCTACACAATGAGTTCAAGGCCAGCCTGAACTACATAGTGAGACCTTGTCTTTAAGGGAAGGGTGGGGGGGGGGATGTCAAATCATCTCACTCCTCTATTCAAACACCTTCTGTAAATTCTCATCTCACAGTTACATCAAAGTCTGGACAATGGCTTACAGAGCCCTAAATCAGGGGTCAGGAACTCTGGGGGACAAACCCTGCCCACTGTCTTTTTCCGTAAAAAACCACACCAATGTCCCTTGGTAGCACCAGAGCAGATGCTTAAGTCCCTTATAAACCATGGCGGTGTAGTATTTCATATAACCTATGCAATGCTGCCTTACAGTTTAAATCATTTTAGCAATTTAAATTTAGCAATGTAAAACCAGAGTCATAATTTAAGATTATACATGGCAAATAATAAACCTCCCAAGCAACATTAAGGTTCTGAACCTAAAATCCATGTAAGAGTTTAAAGTGCTACATGCATTGTATAATAGGTATTACAAGGTAAGTGTATATAAATAGTTATATTCTGTTGTTAAGGGAGTAAGTCTACACATGTTCAGTATGGAAACAATTTATTTCGTGTGTGTCTGTGTGTTTGTGTGTGTGTGTGTGTGTGTAGGCTGGGTGTCAAACCCATAGCCTCATGCAAGCCAGCAAGTACTCTATCACTGAGCTATAACCCCAGCCTCCTGAGTATTTTTTGATCCTCGGTTGGCCAAGTGCATGGATGTGGAATGGAGGATGCAGCTGCTGCACAGTGCTCTGTTCAAGTATTGTCTGCCTTGCCCTGGCACCCCAAGGCAGAATTGATAGCTGTGCAGACACTGCAAAGCACATTTCCAACCGGCTCCTTTCAGAACAAATTTGTCTACACCAGCTCCTCAATGATTTGCTTCCCGCCTGCGACCTCAGCTCTCTTAGCCTCACTTGCTCTGCTACAGCCACAGTGGCCTCCCTGCTCCCCACAGACCCCTCCATGCAAGCGCCCACCCAGAGCCACTGCCCATGAGGCTCCCTCCCAATAGCCACAGCCCCTGAAGTCTTTCCTCAGCTGTCACTTCAGTGCAACCTTCCCTAACCACACTGTTTAAAATTACAAACCCTCCCCGGCTCCCCAGAAACCCACATTTCCCCTTCTCTACTTATCTTTCTCCATAGTATCATCTCACTGTGATGCAATCATCAGGTGCTGAGGGGCTAGGAGCTGTCTCCTTTCAATAGAATACAATCTTTAGTCAACTCTTGGCCTTACAGGGGTTACCATTTGAATTTATACCCTCTGATCTAAGTGAAAATGGAAAATACTGTTCATCTATCACCATTTGAGTGTCTATAATCCACTGTCTAGTGTCTACTGCGGGGGGGCCCCAAACATTAAAATAGGAATACAGCTTCATGGCAAAGAGCCCAACCTCCAGAAGAATAGCTGGACTGGGCCACTGGTTTTGTCACGAACTAACTGTGCAACCTTGTTAAGCCACCCAGACTCAACTGTGCAATTTCCTCATGTACACAACGAGCAATGTCACTGTACCTAGCTCACTGGGTTAGAAGAGAAGCAAGCTTTGCAGGGCTCTAAAAACAGCCTTATATATGGTTAGCAGTCACACAGATTCTGTTAGTTCCTGTTCACTGAGCAGTCTTGAGCTCATGACTGAACTTAAGTCTTGACAGAGAAATGATGCACATGAGACCCAGAGCACAGTGACTAGAAGAGAGTGGGCCTCCAGTAGGTCATAGCTATGGTTCTTTCCATAAGCCTTTATTTTTATTTTTATTTTTTGGTACCGGGGATTGAACTAGGGACTTTGAGCTTGTGAGGCAGACAGAGAACCACTGAACTAAATCCCCAGCCCTATTTTTGAATAATTTATAGAAGTTATGAATATAGTACAGAGTCCCCATGCTATTACTATTTTTATCCACATGTGTATTCTCATTATGAAGTGAGGTATACAGTTTCTAAGCTTCTCTTAAAATTATGACCACAATAAATACTGTCACTCCTGGAAACTCTCACTTTGAGCACTGAAACACACCAGCCCACAGCAGGTGAACTGATTTAACAAGTCTGCTGCATCACAGTTCAAAGGCAGACGTGAGAGTAAGACGCTAACATACCACAGACCTAGGAGCACGTTCTCCTTGTCACCATCTCTACAAAGAGCTTCAGCAGATGCAGGGGGCACCTCTCAACTCATACCACCCATTTTTCGTTCCAGGGTCCCTCAAACACAGTATTTTCCAACCAAGTGAAAACGGAAACGGAAACAGGCCTTAGTTGAAGGGAGCTAGGAACGCAGCTGCTGAGCTCTGGAAGGTCAGCCTGCCAAGCGGCCACCTAGAAAGCTGTGGGCTGTTGGGCAGGGGAGGAAAAGGCTGGATCCATGCCTGGATTCCAGTGCTCACGGAACAATTAATTATTTGTCCCACTCCTACGTATCTGTTCACCTCCTACAGCTATCACAAAGGCGGTATAAAAATATTTTTAATTTTACAAAACAGATAAAGGACTCCAGAGATATCCAGATCATAGCTTTTCAAGCTCACAGAGCCTTCTCGTCACTAGCCATTTTGCTAATTTTTAAAGCCTTATTCTTTTTTTTGGTACCGGGGATTGAACTCGGGTCCTTGGGCTTGCAAGGCAGGCAGTGGAACTACTGAGCTAAATCCCCGGCCCTTAAAGCCTTATTCTTAAGGAGTAAGAGAAAAAGCATCTTCCAGGTTGAAGCTTTTAAGTATTTACGGTGAAAAGCTTGCTACAGGATAATCTTGCACCAAAAAATGGCAATCTCTGAGCACTGCAGAAGGGTTCTCCTCTTCCTGGGTCCTGCCCCACTGTTCCAGCTGTCACCTCTGACTCAGCACCTGGAAGGCCCAAAGGGAGGCAAGCAGTACTGAAAAATCATCCATTATTAACAAGGCCACTGGCATCAGAGCATAAGGATTTGGAAAACCAGAAAAGGTCCGCAGGATAAGAGGAAGAGCAGCTGAGGCCTAAATCACTTTTGGCAGGGTCACACCATTCAGAAAGGTCTACTCTAAGTCACCTTTCTTCTAGACTGCCTTTTTCCCTAGTTTAATTCTTAGTTTTCATCCTAATTCTGGTCTCTACATCCTTCCTATCTTAAATGGCTATTTACACTCACCGAGTGGATTTCTCTGTTTTCACATGTCCTGTCAGGTTTTTTTTGTTTTGTTTTGGTACCGGGGATCGAATTCGGGTCCTTGTGCTTGTGCAGCAGGCGGCGAAACCACTGAGCTAAATCCATGGTAACATACTGTTTTAAGGTTCTGTTTTTGATTTTCTTTTTTTTTTGGTACCAGGGATCGAACTCGGGACCTTGAGCTTCCAAGGCAGGCGGAGGCACCAGTGAGCTAAATCCCTGGACTTGTCCTGTCAGTTTTAAGGAAACACCCAGGCAAGAGGTAGCAATGGAGACAGATTGCAGCCATACTTGCTGCTCTGCAGAAACCCGAGGAAATATCCCTGGCTGCACCCTTGCCATCACCTAGAAACCAACAGAGACTGGCCATTCTGTTTCAGAATAAGCAAAAAGCGACCCAAGCTCACAATACACAAAAGGGGACCTAATGGTACACTCTTCCAGCCACTGTAATGGCTTAGGATCTACCATTGAATTGTATCCAGGAGGAAGCTGGTATATGATGCCAAGGTCAAAGACAATGGCTTGAGTAACTCAAAATTCAATTCCGCCTCTCTGGAGAGATTAAGAAACTAGAAATAGTAATCCTTCCCTTTTAGAGCAGGAGTTCTAACTGAGGATGATTTTGCCCTCCGGGCCATCTGGGAAGGTTTCTGGTTGTCACAACTGAGGGAAAGGTGCCACTGGTATCTAGTGGCGAACAGCCAATGAGGCTGCTGGCCATCTACAGTGCCCAGGAGCCCCCTTACGGAGAATCATGCAGTACACAAAGTGCCAATGAGTGGAGACCGAGAAACTCTGCTTCAGGCAAGTCCTCTTTGGCTTTTTTTGGGCAGTAATGGGAGTTGAACCTACAACTTCACATTGAGCTACATTACCAGCCCTTTTTAAATTTTCTTTCTTTTTTTTTCTGGTACTGGGGATTGAACTCTGGGCCTTGCACTTGCACAGCAGATGACGAAACCACTGAGCTAAATCCCCAGGCCAAAATTTTTTTATTTTTATTTTATATCACCAGATTATCCAGACTGGGCTCAAACTATCAGTCTTCCTGCCTCCACCCCACAGAGCTCTGGGATTATGGGAGTATAGCATCATATCCAGCAATTTATCTTCTTTGTGCTTTGACTTAACCATTGAGCCAGGCATGGTGGCGCAAGCCTATATTCCCAGTTGCTGTGAGTTTGAAGCCAGCCTGAACTACATAGCGAGACATTGTCTCAAAAACCCAAGAAATAAATAAGTAAATAACCCATTGATACTGTTAAGATAAATTGTAGTAAGCATAAATGTTGTTTATATTGGCTGGTTCAGATTAGCAAACATGTTTCAATTCCCTATATATCAATTCTTCCTCAATGGGTCATAGGCTAAGAAACATCATCTTTTCTGCAATATAATGAATAATACTTGCAAGATATGTATAAGGATTTGCAAGCAGAAGCTTCTGCTACTGCTACTAAGAACTGTCAAGTTCTGCATCTTTACAATATTAAGGATCTCTGGGTTTCTTTCTCATTGAGTCTAAAGATTTTCATAAACTAGCTTCTGCTTCTGGTTATGATTAGGTAGCTGTGGTGGACCAGTTCCTTCAGAGAACTACTAGAAAAGCCAAAGAAGACCTTGGGGAGCTGCCAAGGCAACCACGACTTGAAAAGACAAAATCATAGAGAAGGGGGAGCCAACCTCCTGCAGCTGCTTTGCCCCTTGGGGCCTAGGTCAATTCTGGGTGTCAGGAAGAAGCCTGAGGAAGCAGGCACACAGCCTGAGCACAGGAATGGAGGCACAACAAGGAGCCAGAGAACCCAGGGGACTGTGCGGCAGCCTCTCAGGTCTGGAGAAAGGAAAACAAAGGGCCAGGATCCTGGGGAAAAGGACTAATTTTTCCTGAACATATACAACAGACTCGCAAAGCTGCACAGGCTGGGAGGGTCAGCAGAAAGCCTCTGAGGAACACAGCAGAGTTTTCCTCTATCCCTTGTACCAGGGAGACAAAGACTGAAGTTGGGAACATACTGTGGCAGAAGGGCCCAGGTGACACCTCGCTCCTAGTTGATAATCCTTAAGGGCACGGGCAAGTAGGACCAGAAGCAGCCCACCCGAAATCACATTCCTGGTGCAGTCAGCTGCTATGGTAGTCAGCTGTACATTCCTACAACAAAATGCCTGAGATAATCAACTTATAAAGTTTATTTTGGCTCTCAATTCTGGAGGTTTTATTCCATGACCAGTTGGCTCTGTTGCTTTGGCCTGTGGGTGAGTCAGTACCTCTTGGTGGGAGTGAATGGCAGAGCAAAACCACTCACCTCATGGTCAGGGAGCAAAAAAGAGCCAGGGAAGGCCGAGATTCCACAGTTCCCTTCAAAGACTGGCCCTAGCACCCTACAGACCTCTCACAAGGCCCAACTCAAAAGTTTCCACCACCGAGCAACAGCACCCCCTGGTGGAAATCAGATCCAAACCACAGCAGTCACCTGGAGTCAGGAGCCCCCATTCTATTGGCCTAGCAAACACAGTGAGGAGGATAAAATCATTTAGGGTCATTGCAGACTTTTTAGGCACAATGTACAGCTTTTAATCAAAATTACCACCTAAGAGGATATGAAACATCACCATCATCCCTGAACACTTCATGCTCCTTCCAGCCAAAGTCCCATCCTCATTACCCACTTCCAGAAAAAGCAGTATTTTCAACCCACTATCTTCTGAACAATCTTCCAGTCTCTGGTATGAAGGATCAACCTCAGAAAAGTATTGTTTAAAAGAGGTAATCAGGGCCAGGGATTTAGCTCAGGGGTTCCAATGCCTGCCTTGCAAGCGCAAGGTCCCGAGTTTGATCTTCAGTACCAAAAAACAAACAAACTAACTAAAAGAGGTAATCATTTTAATCATGTAAGTTGCCCAGGATGGGCCCAAATTCACAATCTTTTGCCTCAGCCTCCCTGAGATTGTAGGTGTGCACCACCACACCCATCTTAATCATAATACACTCTTATGAAAGCTAAATGTAATACATACAAAGTAGCAAACACAACCTTAAATTCCTATAAGCCATTTAATTGATTACCAATCAAATAGCTAATTTACTGCCAGGATCTTTCACGGAATAATACAGTATTTAGCCCTAACAAAGGTACACTGAGGGCTAGGGGTTTAGCTCAGTGGTTCCAGCGCCTGCCTCGAAAGCACAAGGTCCCGAGTTTAATCCCAGGTACCAAAAAAAAAAGAAGAGAAGGTGCACTGATTGCTACGTCCATCATAGAAAAACTACACTTGTTTACTGAAATGCTTTATGAATTCTTCAAGGCACAAAATAGTCTAGAAAAGAACCACTCCCCTCAGATTTCAATGCATCTATAGTTTATATTCCTTGAATACTTGGGTTTCTCTTTAGCACATAGCCAAAATCAAACCCTTGCTTGGGGAGAATGAAATGCTGCCTGCTGCCTCTGCTATGAACCAAAGTTACCTGGTAATCAGTTAATTTAACATAAATTAGCAGATTATGCCTGGACTCTGGTCCTAGAACACTATTTAACAGAGACCAGGTAAGAGCTGTAAATTTTCAAAATGGCTTATTGCACCAGGCAAAACTTCCTTGAAGATTAAGTAATTCATCACTTTGAATTCCTGAGACAATCTACAGATGGGAAAATATGAGTCATTCTGATTACAACAAAGGTACACACAGAAAGGCAAATACTGCAAGTTCTCATGTATATGTGGATGCTAAAGTTGATCTCAAAAGTGCAGAGAACAGAAGGGCTTCCAGAGCCTAGAAGGGGTGTAGGGGAGGGAGGAAGGATGATGATCAGGTACAGGGTGCAGCTGGACAGGAGGAATAACTCCTAATGTTCTATGACACAGAAGGGGAACTAAGATTGACAACAATTAACTGGGTATTTCAAAAAAGGATTTTAAATATCCCCAACACAAAGAAATGATACATGGCTGAGGTGACAGAGGTGCCAGTCTCCTTGATCTGATCACTACACACTGGGTACATGTACTGAAACACTGTACCATACCCCATAAATATGTGCCATTACTGTATCAATTAAAAACACATTAATTTAAAAAATAAAAAAAAAAACGCAAACCTGCAGGACAATTGGCCAGTTTCAGATGGTATTCCTTTCCTATACAGAGCATACCTCAAAGCAGGTCCTCTATGGGATATGGTAGAGTCTACATTTTCTCGGACTGAAAACATGGCTATCATTTTGCCTATAGACTACACTTTAACACTTTCAGTCAGTACATAAAACTGTACATATAATGTAAGCTCAGTTGTTTTGAAAAATCATAAAACCTAGAAAGAAAGAGCATCAAAAATGTTAAGAATGAATTATCTTTGGATTAGGAGATTTTAGGCTGTCTTTATTTTCTTTTGTTTTGCCATACTTCTCAAATTTTATACACTGAATATATTATTTTTTTAACCCAAACTAAGTAAAAATTACTAGGAAAAAACCCCAAAACCCTACCCAGTATCTGACCTGTAATGAACCCTACATGACTGATCCTATCACACTCTGATTATGCAGCTACCATGCCCTTTGTACCACTCGTCCTTGCTGCCACTCCTCAGACAAATAACCTCTCTCCTTGCAGGAAAACATTGGGAATCCCACCTGTCCCATGTTATAAAGATGCATCACACACAGTTATTCATCCACTTATTCTTTATTTTTCGGTATGGGAATCGAACTTGGGTCCTTGTGCTTGTGAGGCAGCTGGTGGAATCACTGAGCTAAGTCCCCAGCTCCACCCACTTATTCTAAATCTATGTCCCCTGCAATTATGCTTTCTCACTATTAACTGTAGTCTGTATTAGAAAAACAATAAGATGTTGAATGTGCCTTTTCTATTTATACACAAGTCTCTCTCTGCCTTGCCCCCCAATCAAACAAAGCAAACAAAACCAAAACAACAATAACCCTGGTATCATCACACCATCATCATCACCATCTCCAGCACCCCTGACGCAGCTGGTGCAAATCCTCAGTACAACAACTAGACTGGGACTGCAACTGCTATTACTGCCTGGGAGGCTGAGTCAGTATCTTCAGGATCCCATTTCTCCATCTGTAAAACACAGAGGGAGGCTCCATAATCTTGAACATTCTCTCCATTTAAAAATACTGTGACTGGCTGGGGATTTAGCTCAGTGGTTCCGGTGCCAGCCTCAAAAGCTCAAGGTCCCGAGTTTGATCCCCGACCCCACCATAAATAAATAAATAAATAAATAAATAAATAAATAAATAAATAAATAAATAAATAAATAAAATACTGTGATTGCCGGGGATTTAGCTCGGGATTTAGCTCAGAGGTTTCGCTGCCTGCTGCACAAGCGCAAGGACCAGAGTTCGATCCCCGGTACAAAAAAAAAAAAATACTGTGATTCTTAAGATCCTGTTCTATACGTGAATTCATTAGGAGACCACATCTAAGATTATAATCTCCCAACAGGCAGAATATCAATTCTAGAAACAGCTCGTGTTTATTGGGAATGCTCACCACTGCAGGGACCTTGCTAAGCACTTCACTATTAGGCAGAGACTATTATCAGTCCCCATGAGAAAACTGAAGTAGAAATAGGATCCCTCAGTAACTTGCCCCAAGTCACAAAACCAGCCAACTGCAGAGCTGGGACAGGAGCCCTGGAGACAGGGCTGGCTCCAAAGCTCACTGCAGTGTGTTCCTCCCTCATGCAGGTAAATGCCCTTTGTCCTACACAGCAAAACAGAGGTGCCTGTGTTGATAAGTGTTTCTAAGGGCCTGTGAGCCAGATGATTAAGATTTCTACACTTCTTATTTTAGAAGTCCAGGAATTCTGAATATAAACACCCTTCCTATTCTCATGGTTATACATCATCAAGAAACCAGCTTCCCAGACTCCCCACTCTTAAGACCCTTCAAAAAGCCAAGTTTGGTGGTACAACCTGTAACCCTAGAACTATATTCTTTTTTTTTTTTTTTTTGGTATCAGGGATCGAACTCGGGACCTTGTGCTTGCGAGGCAGGCGGCAGAACCACTGAGCTAAATCCCTGGCCCAACCTAATCATTTCTAACAACTCACAAGCAAAGAAACACCCTGAGTTTTCATGTCAAATGCACCCAAGTGGGCCCTCCCAAGGGCCAGGGAAGCCCTGTTGGCCTAGAGATGGCCACATGAATTAATGCTAAGTGCATATTTGATTCCAGATGAAAAGGACAAGGTATGTCTCATGGATATAGGAGAAGAACAAAGGAAGTAATGGCAATAAAGTGTGTGTTTACTGTGGCCACGGCAGCTCTAGCCTTTGGTTTCTGCTCCAAAGGAACCCATTTCTGAACAGATTCTTAATCATTCACATCCTCTTAACAAATCAGAGAAACACAATTACTAAGGTCAAACAGGTCCCTGAGAAAGGCTGATGTCTACTTTGTGAAATCTAATCAGAGAAGGAACAATCTATCATGCTTTCATGTTAAATTAACCGGTATTGTAACATTTAGTGAAATTTTAAATTCTTCTATTTAATTTTATCAATAGTATTTAGGAACAAGATTAGAAGCAGCCTTGACACCAAAGCCAGAATTTCCTATTAGGTTTTTCACCTATGAGTAGACAGCAAGTGTGTTTTCTTCACAGCTTTTGTATCAAGAATCCCTGGCCAGAAATAATCTTTCATTCAGATACTGCATTTAGTTATAGTGGGGAAAACAGAAGTATCTTGGAAAATTTTTTTGTAGCAAAGAGACTGTAAAAGGTTATTCTACTACAAATCCAGCATTTACTAAATTGCTTCCTTTCTTTTTTCTCTCATCTAGCAATTCATGAGGTGCAAAATTTTCAAGTATCTGTATAAATATAACAATGAGAAGGAAACAAAGAAATGAAAACACTGACGAAAAGATAATTATGAATAAATCAGTATAATTTCCTTTTGTCACTCCTAAAGTTGATTTAATAGTTTAAAAAATTGTTCAACAGAACAAAGATGGTAACATTTGTTAGATCCTAATTAAACATGACTCATCGTGGAGTATCTCTGATGACACAGCTTACATAAACAATCTACTGGTAAGTCTCAATATTCACAATAAAGAGTATTTTTCACACATACAACACAACCTGCAACTAAGCTTCAATCTATGCAGACTGTTTTACCACTTTAATTATAGTTAATAAATAAATACAACAGTAGTACTGAAATTA